ACAGACGTTCACCAGAAGATAACCCTTAAAAGAGAAAATTAAAAGAGCTTATGGAACAGGATTCAAGAAGGATATTCAACAACGTCTCAAAAGAAAGATATCAGTGGGGGAATAGACCTGGAAAATATTTAATGAGGAAGCTTAAGGAAAAGAAATCTAAACATTTCCTAGAAAGAATAAAAGATGGAAAAGGATAAATGGTGTACACCACCACTGATATTGCTAATAGGTTTCATAAATACTATAGTAGGCTGTACGATGTGAGCCCCATAAATAAAAAAGAAACAGAGGATGAAAAAGAAGAAAAATAGGCAGAAATATTTAAATGAAGTGGAGTTTCCAACATTAGCACGAGAAAAATTAGAGGCCCTAGAGAGACCAATCACCCCAGAGGAAATTACTCTGGCCCTAAAAAAAAGGAGTCCTGGCCCGGATGGATACACTGTGGGATATTTAAAAAGTTTTAAAGATCTCCTTGTTCCTAAAATGTGTGGTTATTTGAATAGGGGAGGGACTGAAAATGAGGAGCAGTCTTTGCAGGCACATATAACGATTATACTTAAAAAAGGGAAAGACAGCACACAGTGTGCCAGTTACAGGCCCATATCCTTATTAAACATTGACACCAAATTGTACAGTAAGGTTCTGGCAACCAGAATGAAGGAGCTGATGCCAGACTGGACACACCTAGATCAGGTAGGATGCATTCCAGGAAGAGAAGGTAGGGGCAAAGGTCTGAGATCACTGTTCCTCCTACAAAAAGAGAAAAATTGCCATGAATATTCCTGTCGAAAGATGCCAAAAAGTCTTTCGAGAGGGTTAATTGGGGAGTCATGTTTGATACGTTAGAGGTCTTAGGGATAGGGCCCAAAATGTTAAGGTGGATAAAAGGGCAGGTTAATGGCTCCCCCCATTCTTTAAAATGTATACCGTATTTTTCGCCGTATAAGACGCACTTTTTCTTCCCCAAAACTGGGGGGGAAATGTCAGTGCGTCTTATGGGGCGAATATGGAGCGGCCGGTCCGGTATTTCCACCTCGGCCGTGTCAGAATACCGGGCCGGCCGCTCAGCTCTGCAGCGGGACCTTACCTGTTCCTCTATCCAGCGGCGCGCTGTCTTCCCGGCTTCTGTAGTGTGGGCACTGGGCATGACAGCCGGGTGCCAGGTGTGCATGCGCAAGAAGCGGTGCTTTTTGTGAATGGTAAGGCGGTACCTGGGACACATGACAGATCCCAGAAGCCGCCAGACCAATCACAAATCGCAAGTGCTTCTCGCTCATGCGCACTGGGCACCCGGCTGTCATGCCGAGCGCCATTACAGAAGCCAGGAAGACAGCGCGTGGCTGGATCGAGGAACAGGTAAGATCAAACAAAAACTCTGCGGAAGTAAGAGCGGGTACCTGTCAAATTCAGGTACCCGCTCCCCACCTCCCCAAAGGTCAGCAGTCATCTGTACTGTCCGCAGTCTCTGGTCATCCCTGTGCTGTCCGCACTCTCTGGTCATCCCTGTGCTGTCCGCAGTCTCTGGTCATCCCTGTGCTGTCCGCAGTCTCTGGTCATCCCTGTGCTGTCCGCAGTCTCTGGTCATCCCTGTGCTGTCCGCAGTCTCTGCTCATCTCCTGTACTATGTCCGCAGTCTCTGGTCATCCCTGTGCTGTCCGCAGTCTCTGGTCATCTCCTGTACTGTGTCTGCAGTCCATTAGTTCAGAATTTTTTTTTTCCTGTTTTATGCCTCTAAAACCTAGGTGCGTCTTATGGTCAGGTGCGTCTTATACGGCAAAAAATACGGTAATGGCATCAGAAAAGGATGTCCCCTCTCTCCTTTGTTATTTGTACTATCCTTGGAACCTGTTCTGGTGAGTATAAGAAAGTGTATAGATATGGCAGGAATAAAAATAGGGGAAGTGGAACATAAGGTGGCAGCATATGCGGACGACATGATGTTTTATATTGCAAATCCTAGAATAACGTTGCTTAATTTATTGAGATTGTTAAATCAGTATGGCGAGCTTTCAAACTTAAACATAAATCCTGCAAAATCAGAGATTTTAAACATCAATTTTTCAAAATCAGAGGAGCAGAGTCTTCAAAAAGAGTTTCCATTCACTTGGAGGGGAAAGGAAATAAGCTATTTGGGAATAAAATTAACTCCTTCAATAAAAGGTCTATATCAGGCGAGTTATATCCCATTAATTAATGAAATAAAGGACGAGCTGAGGAGACTGTCAAAAGGTGGAGCCTCGTGAATAGGTTGTATAAATCTGTTAAAGATGGTGATAGTACCAAAAATTCTGTATAAGTTTCATATGCTACCAGTACACCTTCAGGGATCATTTTTTGAGATAATTAAGAAGCTGATACTCAAGTTTATTTGTGCAAATAAATTGAGAATTAATTATGATGTATGGTGTAGGGCAAAACAGAATGGGGGCCTGGGTCTGCCTAATATGAAGAACTACTGCTTAGCAGTGATAATATCACTTATTATAGACTGGACATTTAACGCACAAGGGAAGGGTTGAGTGAATATGGAAGGGATTTTGAGTAGGGCACAGTTAGGGAAGATGGTGTGGATACTACATAATTTTCACACATTAGATGTGAATATTAGTTCACTGACAAAGATAGTTTTAAAGTTTTTGGATAGGTTATATAAGCAAAAAGGATGGAAATATAACTCACTTATGATTGCCCTGGGGGGAACGGCGTATTTCCCCAAGGGAAGGATAACATTTCTGGGAAATGGCTTAAAGATAAAAATGCATGTTTGAAGGATATATTGAACAAAGGGAAATTGCACACTTTTGCATAAAGACGATTTATTTTTCACATTAGATGAGTGGCGGTATTGTCAATCAAGTCACTTTGTTTCATTGCTCCCACAACCACTGAGGACTGAGGAGGATCTGTATCCATTTGAAAAATTGGTAAACGTAGCTACAGTTCCTAGATGAATTACTTCTAGGATCTATAGGATTCTTATGGACATGGAGAGTGTTGATTCTCCTCGGTTCTTGGGAAAATGGGAACAGGAGCTTGGAGCAGAACTGAATGAACAGGAACTAAATATTCAAATTAACACATGGGGTGATGAACATGAGTACAGTTGAGATAAACTACAAATGTATGGTGAGATGGTATATCACACCCAGTAAGGCACATAAACAAGTAGACATTTCACCAATGTGTTGGAGAGGTTGTGGGGAAAAGGGAACAATGGAACACATATGGTGGGACTGCCCGAATATACAGGACTATTGGAAGGGAATAATACGACTCATTCAGGAAATATGTGGAATTACATTTCAGAGAGATTCATGGATGTGTTTTTGTTTTATAAAACTGAGCCTTCAATAAACTGGTTTAGGAATAGGGCATAATTTACTTAGTGCGGTTAAGGACTTGATCCCCAAATTTTGGCAAGTGCCAGAGCCACCAGAGTAAAAGATTGGAAAAATAGAGTAGAACATATCTAAAGGATGGAGGAGTTATATGGAGGAATTATATCATATTGAAGTGGATAAATTAGATAATTTTAGGAAAACATGGAGTAGTTGATTACATTTTAAAACATATATAAAATAGCTGGAATTAGTTGTAGTCTAGGTGGAATACATTAGAGGAAGTCTAACGGCGATCACGAGAAAAAAAAGGGGTATGAGGAGGGTGGGAAAGGGGAAAATGTGTTGCAAAGAGAACTTACAGTATGTATTGGTGAAGTACTTGTGATTTGATATCTGTTTTACTTTTTATGTATTAGATGTTCTTTTTTGTACCAGAAAATATTAATAAATAAATAATAATAAAAAAAAAGAATGATCAAGATGCAGCAAAGAGGTGGATAAAGCACAGATCCATAGACTGAATGAAGTATGAGCAGGGGGATGCATACACATTAGGGTCTTAAGATTCAGCTTTCTCCCCAGCAAGGAAAACAGAAAAACTTCAAATCTCATAAAAATGGCATCAATCAGAGGTAGGAATGGGTGTGATATGCCTAAATTCCTCCAATACTGCAGACCTGCAGGTATTAGGCTACAGGCACATTTGTTGAAGTGCACTGCCAATTCTCTGGAGGAATTCAAGTAAAAAGGAAAATGTTTTTCCAGGGCACTGCTTCACCACAATTAAAATTAACAGATATTCCCTATAATACTGGGCAGCACAGTAGCTAGGTGGTTAGCTCTTCTGCTTTGCAGCAATAGCGTAAACAGTTTGAATCCCAGCCATGACACTATTTGCACACTGTCATGGTTGTACTTGTGTGGGTTTCCTCTGGGTGCTCTAGATTTCTCTCACACTCCAAAGACATGCTGGTAGGGTAATTGTCTCCTGCCTAAATTGGCCCTTTTATATATATATCTATATATATATATATATATATATATATATATATATACACATGTGAAATAGCGACCTTTGTATGGTAAGCTCCTTGAGGGCAGAGACTGATGTGAATGTACAATATATGTAAAGACCTGCATACATTGTTGGCACTATATAAAATACCTGTAATAATAAGACAGCAAATTTCCATTTCTTGAGTATAATTCCACTTTAGGTAAATAATATAAAATAAATGGTTAACAGTACTACAATATGTGGTATCTGTAAAGCGAATACATTGTGCTGTCTATAGAGTTGACAGGTTCAGCACTAAAAGGGTATCTTTTTTACTTTTTATGAGCCAGACTTCCAGCCTGGCACAGCAAGCACACAGCTAGTATTCAGATAATTGGTCTACAGCATGCAGCCCTCCATCATACTGATACCAATCCACATGGCTATCTTCACTGGGAGAGGAAACTTGCTTTGAGAGCGTAACAAAAATTGGTATATATACATAAACCATGCTGTAACAGCCCTTTACCCTATGCTGGGTGTTTTTTTCTTCTTATCCCAGCCAGTGCAACCCCTCTCCGTTGGTTTCCCAGCACTTGGCAATGGTCAGTGTAGGAGTTCACCCTACTTAGGAATATTCAATTAATGTGTTACTAAACCCAGGACCCTGCATTCACTATATCTGGTCTCCCACAGTACACAGAACATGGAAGCGCAATTATTTTAGTAAATATAAACTGCTAAATACCCTTTCTCATCAGCAGTTAGAGCAGTCTTGTGACTTCTATCAGTGTCCAGCTGAGCACTGGTTAAAGCTTGTAGGAGGAGTTTTCATTCTGCTCTATGAAGATGCAAAACCCATGACCTCTGTCTGGACAGCCCTGATTGGCCCTGTGCTGATCACATGTACTCTCCCAAGAAAAAAAAAAAAACCTCTCTAGCAATACACACTAAACTGAGCATGTGCAGAAAGGCTACAGTTCAGGAGATAAGACATGGATATTTGAACAAGAGAAGGAGCAGAGAAGTCAGGATCAAACAGCCTTTTTACACAATGCACAGGATTAAATGCAAATTTTTCAGAAAAAATACACTTTAATGAATTTTAATGAAAACAAACACAATATAATACTCAATTTTATTGGTAAAATATAAAAGATGATGTAATTCCTGAGTAAATAGATACCAAACATGTCACGCTTTAAAATTGCACATGCCCTTGAAATGACAACAAACTATGGTACATTAAATTATCCATAGTCAATGCTTTAAAAGCCTTTACAGGTTACCAGTTTAGCTTTACGCAGGAGGTCTGGAACTAGAATTATTGCTCTCCCTCTGAGATTCACGGCAATACCCCACATGTGTGGTGCGATCGTTGTTTACATGTGCGGGCAGGACCTATGCCCGAGTTTACTTTTTTTTTAAGGTTTTTTTTTTATATACTGTACCTTTATTTTTTAGGGGGGCTCAACAATATTGCTATCAGATGAACAACATCCCTCGTGATAGCACGGGCCTTAACATGCCCTCTTTTGGAGATGTCTGAGGTCCATTAGACCACATATCTCTCCTCTGGCCTCCAAACAACTGATCAAACCCAGCTGATCGCATCAGTGCCGGGCTCCCCAATGGGAAAGGAGAGTTGAGTAAAGACCGTGATGGGGGGACCCCCTTCTACCACCTGTAAAAGTGATTGGGCGGCCCCCAAATATCCAGCACTAACCCTACAGTATGTAAATGAGTAAGGAGTACCCCTGGTTACTTATTTGCAAAAAAAAATGCTAATAAAAAAACACAAATATTATCATAAAGACCTTTATTAAAAAAAAATGAACCCTTAAAACAGCACATAAAAACACGTTTAATGCATGCACATATTAGTGTATTTAATAAATATTAATTTAATTTTTTAATGAGGCAAAAAATGTATTTTGGATTTATAATCATACTTTCTGTAATTAGCTAGTTTTAGTTTTACAAATATAAAGGCCTTTCGTACTTCTTTAGTGAAGGGTACTTTGGTTCCATGACTTTATTAGCTAACAGTACAAACATTACATACAAGATAAATCTTTTTTTGTACATAGAAATAAAAGAATCTGCAGACAATACAACCCCCTCCCCTATATACACACCCATGTCTCATAATAACGTGTTACAAGATCATCACCGTATCAACATTAATTAGTTTCCCATATTGATGTCCATGTCTCAAAGTTACAACACATCTCGTATGTCATTGAGGTAAGAAAGATGCCTTCACTTCACTAAAGTATCATTTGCACTCGAGCCATGACCTGTGATGGCCAATTAAATGTACAGTAGCAAGGATCATTAAAACATTTTCTGACATACTTTATTTCATCGGAAGTGTAAATAATCCCCTGAAATCTCACATTAGGGGCAATATTTTGAAGTTTCGAATTTGTTTTTCCAGGTCTACACTTATTACAGCTTTTGAAAAAATTTTATGTCTGTATTTGCCGTCTAAACCGGTATTTTGAGCCTTAAACTTTATGCACTTTGCTGGCTTTATTTGCTGGTTATTGCAAATGCTTTGCAACATTTTCACCATCAAAATAGTTGTTTTAAATGGTTATTTAGTAACCTTTACAGCCTAATTTTATAGAGACTTCGATATTGAATTACAGTATGTAGAAATAGTCTGCCAAGGTAGCAGTGGCAGTTGTACTGACAAGAAAAATCTAAATTCACAAGAATGTCCTGTTAAAGTGTTACTAAACCCACAACAGTAAAATCAGTCTGTATATGCAGTAAAGCATGCTTGTTATACTCACTCTGAAACCTAAGGGGTTAATCCTCTGCATTGTGTAAAAAGGCTGTTTGAACCTGTCTTCTCTGATGCTCCCCTTCTTCTACTGCCCCCAATCCATCTGCTGATACTACAGAGCTCTAGGAGTCACTTTTCACATGCTCAGTTTAGTGAGTATTGCCAGAGAGTTTTTTTTTCTTTGGGAGGGCGCATGTGATTGGCACAGGGCCAATCAGCACTGTCCAGACAGAGGGTCAGGGGTCATGCAGCCTCATAGGACAATCAGAGGAGGATGAAAACTCGCCCTACAAGTGTTAACCAGTGCTCCGCCAGACACTGATAGAAGTCACAAGATTGCTATATATTGCTGATGAGAAAAGGTATTTAGCAGTTTATATTTACTAAAATAATTGCATTCCATGTTCTGTGTACTGTGGGAGCCAAGATATAGTGAATTCAGGGTCCTGGGTTTAGTAACACTTTACGAATCCACATTATCCAGAGTTTTATTTAGGAACTACACTGCATCTGAGCACCACAAACCAAAAATACTGTTTAATTCTTTTTTAATATTCAAAGAAAACTCACCCATCCATCCATGTCTCCATGTGTTTTTTTTAGCTTTGAAAAACAACTCCTTCAAAAATTTCTGGTCTTGGCCATCTTGAGAACGGCAAATGACTAATGTAGCATTTACTTCCTGGAATCCTTCTGCCGTTAGCCCAGGCATTTCAGGCAGAAGGGTGTGCTTAGTTGAGAAAGACCTTTCTCCCCTCTTGAAGACTCTTGGGATATATGACATAATTTGCCTAGACAAAAAAAACAGGAAGTAACTGAAGAAATGTAAAAGTAAAGTTTAAACCAAGCAAATATAATATACCTTCCTATCTATTTACTAATACTAGCAGCATAAGGATTACAAATGGTCAGTGTTGATTGAAAGAGTGACGTTCCAATTTAAAGCTGAATGGATATTAATACTTGCTTAATTACTATTAATTGTGATTAAATAGATAATATTAAATTACAAGATACATTTTATTGGAGGTCAGTATTGAAGATTAATAATTTAGAAACCGTGTGTGTGCATGATGGCCAAGGTCTTGGTCTATGAACAGGATTCACAGTTCTGCCATCTGTAGTCAGCCTAAGGTTGGAATTTTCTATCTGAAAACAATCAAATGGATAAAGGCAGCATATGTTGTATTAACATTTTTTTTATAAAAAAAAAAAGATAGAAACAAGGTTGCCACATGCTCAAAAGCTGGTTGAAAGTGATTAAAGTTTAGCTTTTTTTTTTTAATCAACACCAAGGACATTACTTACATAGAATGAAAAGTGTCACTTGTAATGATGGTTTCTGTGTTAAATGAATTGTTTATTCATCTCTCCCCCCCCCTCCCCCCAGATACCCCATGCAGCGGTGATCTAGGTGCTGCGGGGGTTAGTACTAGCTCCTGGACCTGTCATAGGCACTTGTCACGAGTAACTACTATACCCACCCTTTCTACAGCCCTGCTCCATCCATAAAAGCTGTACTACGACTTCCACTGAAAACACTCTATGAATGGAGGATGGGCAGATGAATGAAAAGTTCACCTAGGGGTTCTCCTTAGGGGTTAAAACAGGCCCTCTGAAAAGTGATCCACCACTGATCTCTCTATAGAAGGAAAAGCTGATGTAAACAAGCACTTTTTCTTGTGGGTAGCAGTACTAAAGCTTGGAGTTTGGTATGTATATTCCAACTTACAAAGCAGTCACCAGCATATTAGATACTTTTCATTCAATGTACATGTTGTCTCTTGTGCTAATTAAAAAAAAAATCTAACTGAACCAAATTAAAGTTTTCAGTCTGCGCTGGGGAATGGCTCCGCCCACCCAAAGGATTCCACCATTATAGTGCCCATGGGGTCTCCAGAGGCTGCCAGCACATCAGAAAATGCTCAAGTGATTTTCCAGCATGTACAAAGACAGGGAAGGTTTTTGATTACCCTGGTAGCAGTCTTTGCACATGTGTGGGAAACCCTGTGCATTGGCAGATGGCCGGGAAAAAATGGGGCATATACAGATGTGTGACTCGACTCTGAGCCCTGTGGCTCATCTGTGCATGCAATGGACAGGGGAATGGGGAGAAACACTTGCCTAGGCCTAGGCGAGAATTGCGGAAATGCTGTTTTGTGGCACAAATAAAACACTTTAAAAAATCAATTTATAAGAGAGGGAGGGGGTGGAGGCAGGGGACAGCAACATGCCCTATGGGGCAGGGGTGGGACTGACCAATCGAGCACTCGGGCACTGCCCGAGGGACTGGGGTCAGTAGGGGTCCCCATGAGATGCTCCTGGTACCTTTCATTGGCTTTTTCATAGGCTTTTTTTGGTGTGGGTGAGGACACAGGGGCCCCATGATCCCCTATTGCCCGGGGGCCCCATGAGTTGTCAGTCCGCCCCTGCTATGGGGTGAAGGTATGCTTTAAACTTCAGGATTGCCTTGTATGGCTGGCATAACAGCTTGCTACAGTCATCATTTTTCAAAGTGAAATTTTTGCAAGGTGAAAAGTTTCCACTATTTTATGAAATCAACACCACTGTAACTACTGTCTATTGTTACAATGTAATAGGTTTCAGGTGTTATGTAGTTGAAAAGCTTTTCCCGTGATCTAATCTATAACCTTGGCCACTGCAAACATGTTAGGTTAAAAGATCGTTTTTTTTATACCTACGCTCTTTTTATATATACCCCATGTTTAAATCCTATGGTTAACTAGTTACATTAAAGTAGTATTAACCACTTCCAGTCCGGACACTTTCACCCCCTTCCTGTCCAGGCCAATTTTCAGCTTTCAGTGCTATCACACTTTGAATGACAATTGTGTGGCCATGCAACACTGTACCCATATGAATTTTTTAGCATTTTTTTGAGACAGATACAGTTTTATTTTGGTGGTATTTATTCACCACTGGGATTTTAAATTTTTTTTGCTATATAAATGAAAAAGTCCAAAAATTTTGAAAAAAAGTGTTTTTCTTATAAAATTGTGCAAATAAGTAACATTTCATCATAAATCTTGGCCAAAATTTATTCAGTTATCTTTTTAGTAAAAAAAAACTTAAATTAGTTTATAACCAAAAATTATAATTTTTGAAATTTTTTTTTTTTTTTTACATTTTTATTTTTATTTTTATTTATTTTTTTAATACATACTGTCACCCTAGCAGTACAGTGTCACCATGGTGACACTGTACTACTTGTGGGGGGTGTTGAAGATTTTTTTTTTTACACTGATTGCTTTTACACCCATAAAGGCTGTAAAAGCAATAATTTATCCTTCTCCCTGGCTACATTCTTGCAGCCATTGAGAAATACTGTGTGAGCTGTGATTATTCACAGCTTGTCACTTGGTACAAGGCTGTTGTGACTAGCCTTGTACCATGTGACCTCTGTGATCATTCACAGATTTCACATGTAGTAAGCAATGATGTCAGAAGTGACATCTTGCTCACTACTCTGCATGTGATTGGCCAATCAGTGATCACATGATCGGGACCTTGCACAGAGGTTCCCGTGCGACGATCTGTGTTCCGGAGGATACAGCGGGCACCGGATCGCGGTGCTGCACGCTACCAGGGAGAGCGCACAAACAGGGAGCTGGGAGGCCGTTTATAAACTGCCACCCACCCCTGCACTGCCACCGTCTGGACGTTTATATACAACGGCCGGACGGGAGGTGGTTAAACCCAAAATCAAACATGTATTATATTCCAGCCTACCAATTCTTAGATGTGATGGCTGCATTCATTTTTTTTTTTATTTCCTTTCATTTATTTTCATCTGGTGATTCAGGCAGTAAGTCTGCTGTTTTTCAAAAGAAAAACTCTCCAGTAGAATGTTCCGGTTACAGAGATGAGACAAACCATTTTACATTGGCAGGGGTGCTTACAATGAACAGTTTTTATTTATTTATGCAAAACCTTCCCAAAAGGAAAAAAAAAACTGTTTACTGTAACTGATTATAAATTGTTAGCTGAAGTCTGGCTTCAATTTGAATTAATCTGAATTAGTGAATCTAAATCTGCTAGTACAAGTACATCTAACACTCCCTCCCCCCAGATTGACAATGCTGCTGTCCAAAGGTGTCCCCTATGCTTCTTCATTCAGATTTGGGGCCCTCTAATACAGGAGGTGTTTTACCGGTCAGATGACCAGGTGAACACAGAGGGAAAAACGCCTAACAAAAGAAAACTAATGCAGCCACCACATCTAATGACTGGTAAGCTGCAATATATTAAATTTTTGGTTTTGGGTTTAATACCACTTTATTATACTCATAATTTCCTATTCATAATATACTCTTCATATGAAAATGTTTTATTTGCTCTATTTCATAGTGTTAACATTGACAAAAAAAACATACAATTTTTAAACACATTGATATAGTTATGTGATTCTGCAGTTACATGAGTCTCGCAGACTGTGCACACAATAGTCTATTAACCACTTGCTAACCACTCTATAATCAAATGCCAGCTACAGCGCAGTGGTCCAGTTCTGGGAGGGTGTCATGTGACGTCATGACATCCTCCCAGAATGTGCCCTCCTGCGCACCCACAGCAGCACGCACCCGCAATCTCTGTGATCGCTGTGTCCTACAGACACAGCTGATCACGTGATGAGGTAAAAGGCCAATCGCAGTGGCCTTTTACCACATGATCAGCTGTTTCCAATGACACAGCAGATCACAGGAGTAAATACAGCTGTCGATTATCAGCTGCCCTTTCCTCACACTGTCACAGTGTGAGATAAGTACTACTGCAAATGTGACAGAGCAGATCAGCGCTGATAATCAGTGCCCAGCATTGCCAGTGCCCAGCAGTGTCCAGCAGCGCCACCCAGCAGTGCCCAGCAGCGCCACTCATGCCCACTATCAGTGCCACCCATTAGTGCTGTACAAGCAGTTGCGCCCAGCAGTGCCGCCAGTCATAGCTGTCAGTCAGTGGCATCAGTCAGCACCACCCACTCATCAGTGTCGCCCATCAGTGCCCATCAGTGCCATTAGTGCCCATCATTGCTGCATATCAGTGCAGCATCATCAGTGCCTCCTCATGAATGCCCACCAGTGCTACCTCATCAATGCCACCTCATCAGTGCCCATCAGTGCTGCCTATCAGTGCCCATCAGTGCTGTCTATCAGTGCAGCCTCATCAACGCACATCAGTGAAGGAGAAAACTTACCTGTTTGCAAAATTGTATAATAGAAACAAAGAAAACCTTTTTTTATAAAAAAAAAAAAAAAAACACCCACCAAAAGAAAGCTCTATTTGTGTGAAAACAAAAATGAAAAATAGTGTTGCATGACCGCGCAATTGTCATTCAAAGTGTGACAGCGCTGAACGCTGAAAATTGGCCTGGGCACAAAGGGGGTAAAAGTGCCCAGTATGCAAGTCCATAAGATGGTCATATTTACATGACTTACAGTATAGCCACTTTAATGACTTTTAACAAAGAACTCTACTGCACTTTGGATGGCCTGCAAGCAAATCACCCTGGAAACATCTACAAGCCTGATTCCCGCTCCACCTACCTTTAAAATGTACCCTCTACTCCTCCTTTTCACATTACTATCCTCTGTTCTCAAAATCTATTTTTTTTTACCCCTCTACTTCACCCAAAAGCTTTTATCTATCACCATCACTTCTACCATCTCCCTACTACTGCTCTCATCACCTCCTGCTAATTCTTTACTCTCCTGCTGACCCAAACACAAGAACAGGAAGGCATGTACACTCATATACATCCCGCTCTCATCTTACTTTCCTCACCCTCCTTCTCCTAACCTCTGGGGATATATCTCCTGAAACCCTGGTCCTCCCGTATCTCATCCCTACACCAGGCACCCTCCTTCCTCTGGGAATAGCCATGATCCACTCAATTTAATCTCAATCCCTATGCTCCCAAAAACCACCCTCCCTTTTTCATGTACACTCTGGAATGCCCTCTCTGTCTGTATTAAGCTCACCTCTGTCCATGACCTTTTTGTCTCTTGCTCCCTTAACCTACTGGCAATTACAGAAACCTGGCTTCAAGCATCAGATTCTGCTTCTCCCACAGTACTTTCCCATGGAGGCCTCCACTGGATTCACTCACCAAGACCCAGTAGTCGGAAAGGAGGTGGAGTGGGTTTGCTTCTATCCCCATTGAGCACCTTTCAAGTCCTTCCCTACCCCTCCCTCTCTATTCTTCTCTTCTTTCAAGACTCACTGCATTTGGCTGTTTTCTCCCATTGCAGTGATCTATTCGCCTCCTGGACAGGTTTCGCGCTTTCTTGATGATTTCTCTGCCTGGCTACCCTACTTTCTCTCCTCTGAAATACCACTATCATTCTTGGTGATTTTAACATCCCCATTAATGTGAACAAACCAGCTACATCCCAACTTCAACCTAACCTCATCTTTTACCTTAACACAGTGGATACAGTCCTCCACTCACTCTGATGGGAATACCTTAGACCTTGTTTTCTATCATCTTTGCACTCCCTACAACTTCACAAACACCCCAGTTCCTCTCTCTGATCACAATCTCATCAACTTCACAGTGTCCTCATCTTCAAACACCTATCCCTACAAGCAGCAAACAATCATCTGCAGAAACCTTCACAACTTTAACCCTTCTCTTTTCTATTCTGCAACTGACCACCTCTATGACAGAATCTCTCCCCTGTCCTGCCCTGACCTGGCCACTTCTTTCTACAACAACTCACTTTCATCCACACTAGACTCACTTGCTCCTCCAACTACACGAAGTATCAGGCCCCGACCATTACAACCTTGGCAGACTGACAATATTACAAATCTTAAGAGACATAGTTGTGCACTGGAGCGATTGTGGTGTAAAACCAAATCCCAGCAAGCATTCACCCTATATAAATCTGCTTTCCTAAAAATACAGTTCCTCCCTCCATGCTGCCAAACAAGCCTACATTGTCACTCGTATAAATACCTTGCCATCCATTCCTCATCGTCTCTTCTCTACTCTTAACTCTCTACGTTCTCCATCGCCAACTCCACCCAGTAACTCACTCACTGCTTACGAGATTGCAAATCATTTCAAAAACAATATTGATGCAATTCGTAAGGGCATTTCCACTGCACAGACATCTATCCCACTTAGCATACCTTATACTAAACCTCCTCAACACTTTTCTCTTCTGACCTTGCTACTACTGAAGAGGTCACTAAAGTTTTCTCAGAAGCCTGTCTCACCACCTGCCCCCTGGATCCTGTTCCCTTACAACTTCTATGTCACCCTCTTCTTCTATCCTATGCTCCCTCACTCACATCTTCAATCTCTCCCTCTCTACTGGCACCTTCGTCTCCCCTTTAAAGCATGCACAGACCACTCCCATACTTAAAAAGCCCTCCCTGGACCCCGCCGACCTGAACAACTGAAAACCCATCTCCCTGCTCCCATTTACCTCTAAACTCTTAGAATGCTTAGTCTAAAATTGCCTGAGCTCCTACCTCACTGACAACAACCTTCTTGAACCTTTACAGTCTCGCTTTCACTCACTACACTCCATTGAATCTGCCATACTAAAACTCACTAATGATTTACTAAAAACCAATGGCCACTACTCCATACTCTTACTACTTGACCTGTCTGCGGCTTTTGATACCGTTGACCATCCCCTCCTCCTAAAAAAAACTCCACTCTCTTGGCCTCCGAGACCTTGCCCTCTCCTGGTTCTCCTCCTACCTATTGTACAGCACTCCTTCAGTATTACCTATACCTCTGTCTCCTCCTATCCACTTCCTCTTCTGTAGGGGTCCCTCAAGGTTCTGTCCTTGGACCCCTTCTCTTCTCCATCTACACCTCCTCCCCTGGTCACTTGATAAACTCCCACGGCTTCAAGTACCATCTCTATGCTGATGACATATAAATCTATCTTTCTACTCCTCACCTTTTCAGTCTCCTCTTGCATTACTAACCTACTAAGTGACATATCAGCATGGATGTCACTCCACTTCCTCAAACTAAATCTTTCTAAAACTGAGCTCATACTATTCCCTCCAGCCCATGCCCCTTCCCTCTGACTTCTCCATCAAGATCAATAATACAACCATCAGTCTCTCCCCTCATACCAGGGTAACTAGGTGTAATCCTAGACTCTCATCTGTCCTTTCAGCCCCAAATCAAATCACTGTCCAAACCCTGTAGACTTCACCTCTGTAACATCTCCAAGATACGCCCCGTTTTTAACCACTGAAACCACCAAGCAACTTATTCACTCCCTGGTTATCTCTCGCCTTGATTATTGTAACTCTAACTCTCTCCTCATTGCCCTGCCTAATTGCAGGCTATCCCCTCTTCAGTCTGTTATGAATGCTGCTGCCAGACTTATCCACCTTACTAACCATTTCCATATCTGCCATCCCTCTCTGCCAATTCCTCCACTGGCTTCCCATTGCCCAATGAGTAAAATTCAAAACATTAACAATAACATATAAAGCCATTTATAACTCTGCCCCAAATTACATCACCAATTATGGTTCCAAATATCACCCAAATTGTCCTCTCAGCTCCTCCTATGACCCCCTGCTCTCTAGCTCCCTTGTCTCCTCCTCCCATGCTTGTCTCCAGGATTTCTCCAGAGCCTCCCCCATCCTCTGGAACTCTCTACCCCAATTTATCCGACTGTTGCCTATTCTGCCCACTTTTAAGCAATCTCTGAAAACCTATCTCTTCAGGGAAGCCTATCCTGTCTTCAGCTAATAACCGAATCTTCTATTTCTCAGTTCATCACCCACAGTTATTACCTTTTGTACCAGCAGCCCCTCCCTCTTAGATTGTAAGATCCAAGGAGCAGGGCCCTCTTAACCCTCTTTTATATTGTAAGGTGCTATATAAATCCTGTATTGAACTGTACTGTTGCTGTATTGTCTCCCTCTGTCTTTTTTGTGTTCTTGACCCCACTCTGACAGCCCAACCCCTGCTGACACCACCTTGAACCTCTGGCTAGAAGAACCCTCTGGCTACAACCATAAAATAGACTCACACACAGTTTAGAGTGAACTGATATTTTGGTTGTATTATGTATTATGGTCAAATGTAAGCACAGTAAAGCAACAGAGGAATATGTGCATGAAATAACAGCTATCAATCTTAGTAACTACAGCACAATCTCAATCAGTTCTAGATGTCCTGCAATTCAGAGTTTAAATGCTAGCCCCAGTTCTAAGATGTTTATTCTCCAGTGAGCAAAAAAACTACCAAACAAAGAGGCTTGCTCACTTTGGGCTTTCATGGGCTGATAACTGAGTTTAATTCTGAGGAAAGATGAGCTCTTCAATTTAAATAATCCCTTTAAATTGCAGCGTCTGACCTTCTACATGCTCAATGGGGCCCTATTCGGTGCATATAAGGATTCAGGATTCAGGCAAAGGTAGAAGTTCCTTAATAGAGGGTGAACACAAAGAAAAAGGAGCTGCCCCTTTAAGTGGTATTTCATTTGGGCGGTATCCCAAGGTGGTATGCATAATTAGGCAGAGATTAGTGAATGGGCAAAACACATATTTGTAGGGGATTAGTTTCTCTTTGGACCACAGTGGCAACTGTGGCATTGAAAGAGCTCCTTGGCAAATGGGGGCCGACTGTGATGCAAGCAATAATTCAGCTTGACCTGTGGAGGGCAGACACTGTCGTTGGCTCTTGTGATTGGTTATTGTGAGAGTGTAATAATTAGTAGACCAGGTGAACTGGGCCTTAACACGTGTAACTTGGGAAAACAGTGTCAGTCAAACTGAATAGAAGGTAGCTGAATTGAGTAACGGCATTTGCAACATAAATGGCTTGAGAATGGAAGTCTCTCACCTGATCCGTGGCCTCGGTTAGGAAGCAGATAGTCTCTCTGTAGATGGGGGCTCCTGTGTTCTTGTGGTTCCTCCTTCAGAGATCGCTGCAGACCAGGGGTGGACTGACAACTCATGGGGCCCCCGGGCAATAGGGGATCATGGGGCCCCTGTGTCCTTGCCCAAACTCAAAAAAGTCTATGAAAAAGGTACCAGGGGCATCTCATGGGGCCCCCTACTGACCCCGGGCCCTAGGGCAGTGCCCAAGTTTCCAAATGGTCAGTCTGCCCCTGATCCGGACAACAGCACTCTGGTCTGCCTGCTCACAGGGCAGTTCACCAGACTCGTC